AATGTTTTTATACATAAAAAAAAAAAATTTCAATCGTGTAAAAATTAGTATGAGATCAACACGGTAGTAAACCGTAAGGATTGCAAAAGAATCGTCGAAATTGAGGAAACAGTGTTTGAAGTCAGTTTAATTATAAATTAACCGTACTAAACAAAGGTATCTTTATTTCCATGGATCCAGCGTGTAATATATACAAGATATTGTAGTTGTATTCTAAACTAGCTTCTATCCGCGACTTCGTCCGCGTTTTAGTCTGAATTCTATATGGCACATTGAAGCTAATAAAAAAAAAATAAAGGAGATGTGCTCATATTGCGCGCGAAGCTATCGAGATCCTATTATTAATATTTCTGGACTGTTCAATTCCAAAATTGTCTGAACTCCAAGGTTTTAATTATTAAAAAATGTATTGAGCGTAAGTGATTAGCGCATACAACTATACACTTGAGAGCATTATAAATCGGAACGGAAGCGGTGTGACGTCACGCATCTGGTAGAGGAACCAAGAACGCGTAATCGCATGCTATGCGCTAATCCGCACGTGTTTACTTAACCTTGTATCCGAGCAACGTGGTATTTTTAGGGTTCCGCAAACAACAATAACAATTTAGTGATTTACAGCATTGGTTTATCCATCAACCTAATTGACGTGAGAATTAGAGCTGGGAGTTTTTTTTTTTATTTGGTGAAAATAGAATAGAACAAGTAAACTGAGCCATCGTGACGAATTCGACTGTGATGATTTGCAGAGGAAATCGCGTCGATATTAACTCTATAGTATATATTGTTGGAAATGAGTACCCATTGTTAGACCTCATTCATGGCCGAGTGGTCCCGGCAACCCCTTCCTTTCCTGTGTGTGTCGTAAGAGGCGACTAAGGGAACTTAATGGTCACGAGATAGGCAGATATCTCTAAAACTTAACTGCGGTTGCCAATCCGCCTGCCGAGCGTGACTACTGCTAGAAAAACCCACCAAGGGGGAGGCTTATGTTCAGCAGTGGACAGTTAAAAACTGATATGATGATAATGATGTTAATGATGATGATGATGATGAGACCTCTTTGCTGAAAATCTCTTTAGTGTCGGAGCTGACGGGTGTTGTATTACCCTCACCAATATGTACGTAATTCTGTTTGTTAATTCTTGACGCATTGAGTCCCACATAGACGGGTTGGGAGGAAGGGATTGTTAGTAACGCGGACTACCAGTCCCATTGCTAGCAATATACCCTGTCAGGTCGACCTCCACGTGGTTCCTCCTGGAAACCATCGTGCTGAATTCTGTATGTATTCATCACGATGGGCTAACTGACCTGCTTTTTCATTCTCACCTGGTGCCCCGCCAACATATACCGTTAGCGCAGGTGAGGTTGCCATTCCATTATCATCCATTAAAAAAAACATAGACGGGTTGATTATTGTAACGATTCGTCGTTCGATCTTCGAAATCGATTATGATTATTGTTTTTATTCAACAAAGCAATAAATCTCTCTGTATATGGCGAGTATTAACATACATAGAACAATCATGTAACTTGGCACACTTCTATCTCTAACGTTGAAGCAAGTATTATTTGGTATGGAGAAGGCCATAGCTACTTTTTATCCCGGTCACGCGGACAAAGTAGAGAACAGAATTAATGATCAAATATAATAAGTTTGTCTTCGAGTTCAATATTCGTAATAACTTACAAAATTCCTACAAAGCATTTATCCTATTCCTTCAATCTTAAAGCTCTAGGTTTATAAGACAGTCAATAATCAAATCATGAAATTATATAAAAGTTTTTGAACTAAAGAAAACTCTGATAATTTAGAAAATGGAATTAAACCTTACCACCTTATTCATAGAAACTAAAACCGTCTACAAATTCTATAGCTAAAGTAGGTTTATGAGAGGGTTGACGTTTTTATGAATAAGGGGGTCAGTCTTCAGGCATGGCAACGCATGAGGAATATTATGGGCATCACAGCATACTCACAGTATTATTTTCCATTAAGTAAGCCACCAGCTTGTTTAACATTACAAGCATCGTAAAAAAAATTACTACGAAGTCTTCTCACATAACACATCTGTCAATAAGTTAAAAATTTAATATTCTTGATAGTTGTTTGCGTAAAACAACCGAAGAACAGGGCCGAATTAGACAATAATATTAAATTTTTTAATAATTTTTAAAACTTATATTAATTTTTTAAAACATTTCTATAGTACTGGACTGCTGTCCACTGCTGAACATAAACCTCCACCATAGATTGCATAAAATACTATATTTATGAATCAACAATGTAACAAATGTTTCATATCTTTTACAAAATCAACTTCAAATAATAACATCCTTATGTAATCCTTTCAACCCGTACGCGAATACTTACATTTTACATATGTATAGTACAAATCAAAATAAATAATTGTTTAACCTCTACAAATGTTTGTTTAAGCTCAATCGTGAATACGGTTTCTAACTTAAATAGCAGTAAAATAAAGATTATATTTGCAAACAGGTCTAACAATATAATTGTATTAACATAACAATCGTTAGTTGCTTTTTGTGAATTATTCATTTTACGTTTATTATTGTTTGTGTCCTTGTCGGATAGTAATTTAGTTGCTCACATGTTTAGTTTATCTATCGTATTAAAATGTATTATTATCATCATCATATCAGCCGTCTACTGACCACTGTTGAACAATGGCTTCCCCTTATTAGGAGGTTTTGACAGTACTTAGTCTTACTTAGTAAGTTAGCAACCGCAGTTAGGCTTTGGTGATGTTCCAAGAGGAACAGGCTATTAATCGCCACTTACAATACCCACGGGAAAGGAAAGGTTGGCTTATTCTATACCGTTACCATACGGTAGTATTAAAAATATACAGCGTTTCATAATTTTTAGCTAACTTTAAAAAAAGAGAAAGTAATAAAAATAATTAAAAGTTTACATAAATACTAGCAGTAAATGTAAGTTCCTATCTAGATTATTATTTTTTTTCATTTTCAACTAAAGACAACAGAAGTTAAAAGATATACCTATATATATTTAAAAAAGCCAAATTATCAAAACCAGAATTCAAAATTACTGATTTCGTCACAATTGAAATCGGTTTATTTTGAAGAAAACAAAAGTCTATTCATCATATATATATTCTACAAGCCTACCACGATTACAATACGACCGGTTATGAATTTACTATAAGACTCTTCTGAAAAATCCTTTAAAAGCCTTTGTACCTATCTTGCCTAGCCTACATAGAAACTAAAAGCAAACTAGCTCAATAAATGTTCGAAATTAATTTATAATATACGTCTATATTAGAATAACATTGTGTTAGAATGCCTCATTTCCAGTTCGCAGCGTACTTACATTCCCAAAAAAACGCTTTACTATAACAAAACCGTGTAATATAGTAACTTTATATAAGGTAACGGGAATATTATTTTTCAGGGAAATATTCTAAAAAAAATAAGAGTTTACTTGTGTTAAATTTTTACCACATAGCAACAAAATAATTAAAAGATTACATAAAACTTTAGATTTTTCCGATTGTCTTTAAATATGCATAGTCGATGAATTCTTAATGATAAATTGGTGTGCTCGATTGTTTACCATAACCGTGGTAAGGACCTGTCAATTATGCATATTATAATAAGTGTAAACACTATTAATGTATTAAAAGAACACCAATACATTTCTTTATTGTTTATTTTTATTACAAAAAAAAAAAAAAACTTCAAAAAAAATCTCAATTCATTTCATTTTTACGATTAAATTACCAAACAGATTCCACTAATATCTTAGACATAAACATTTAGATGTTATGTTTGTATCTCAATCACGCATAAAGGTCTGAATACATGGATAATATTTGGTACACAGCATACGATACTATATATATAGGCACACACCGCAAGTACCTCATTTTAACACTAAACGCGGTACTAAAATGCAAACTCCGAACCTAAATTTAGGTGGAATCAGTTAAGCTCATTTTAACCTAATTTAGGATCTAAATACACACAAAAGTACATACAGTTGCATCACCTATTTAAATCAACTGGAAAGCCCAATACAATTCGTAGATATTATTGCGGACAAATTTTTTTTTTTTTTTATCAAGTTGACTCATACAAAAGAGAGAAAGACGTTACCATCATGAAAGTGTCATAGTGCCCATGCATCACTGTTATTGCAAATAAAAATCACGAACATGCCTCTAACATCATTTCCCGTTCGTGTCTGAAGTGAGAACGTGCAATCAGTATCCTCGGTAACTGACCCATCATATAATAGATCGTTAATAGGTTATTAGGTCAACTTATTCAAGGTAAATGTGTCAACGACGATGCGTCTCACAATTTTTAAATACATTTTATGAAATTTATTGGCATTTAGTTTAAACCGTTAAGCGCAGTTTATCAATACAAAATGATGTATTACACTATTCTTATTTATCATGTAGTGTATTTATTATATGTAATTATTTTAAACAATTGACATTAACTTTAACATTTTCGTGAACTTGACAGAAATATCGTTTGATAGTTAAAACGCACTTTACCGTTATCTAATAATATTAGGTTATAAAGCGAAACGAATTTAGAAATTTAATAAATTGGTCTTTGAAAATTGTAATTTGTATATGTACATAATATACTGTATATATATTGCTACATCTATATTTTGTTTCTACCTTTTTATAGTGCGGAATGCCCTAAGATGATTAACGTATGGCGGTCGATTGATTGTTTAATTAATAATTCTTAATCACTGTTGTGGTTTTTTTATACTTGTTTCCATTTATTAATAATTTCCATGTATTAACTATGCTACTTAGAGATACACGTTCAGTAACGTTTAAATTATTTAAGACTTCAAAAAGTGGGAAGTTAACACACCAATGTTCATATGTGCTTAATCGATCTAAAATTAGGGCAAAATTATAACATTGTCCACTGTCCAAGCCTATTTATTTATATATATAAAAAATTGTAACACTCACCCAAGTATAACTAATTCGCCATATTTGACAGGTGGTTTGGGTTTCTGTTCTGAGCCACTTTCGCCGGTTTCCTCAAGTATGGGCGAATCCGCAGTGTCCGCAGCACTATAACAAAAGAAAAAGAAACTAAAGCATGGTATAAAATCAGTTTAACTTAAGATTGAGACACGATCAGTGTTATGTGCAGAAACCATAAATGCATAAACATTTACAACGCAATATTTGTATTGAATTTAATATAGCATCTTGTCATTCTTATTATAATACAATTCTTTTTTAAATACATTGTTTTAATCAAAAGTGTGGACTGAACTCGCATAACGAATGTTCAGTATAAAATTGTAACAATGTAGTAATGTAAAAATGATGAGTTTATGTATGAAATACATACCTAAAACTTAAAAAATATCCTCGAATATAGATCTTTTGAAGTTGATTAAAAATATCAAAGGACTAAACTAATTGTGAAACGTTATACAAATATATTTTTCTTTAATTTATATGCCTAAGATATATAAGTAGGCATATAAATTACGCAGTACACAAAAGACGCATTAATAATCTCAACTATTTAGGATAATTTTATTTTTAAAAAACAATTAAGTATTATAAAATAGTATCACTAATATTATAACTAAATTTTCCTTAAAAAAATAAAATTTTTGGTTCGATATTTCATTCATCGAGGGTACACTTACGTTCAGAAGCAATTAATTATGAAGGTACTGAAAATTACCTACTTACGCAACAGCTTCAGAGCTACGACACTGCGTAATTAATGTTATAATCACCATAATATTAGGATTAAGTTTTGGTCCAAAGATAATACGAACAATTAAGTACAGTTGTATAATTATAAGCTTACATTGTAAAAAGGAAAAGGGTAAAATAAATATTTGTTATTTATATATGATATCAACGGATTAACATACTTCTTTGCACTTTTGCTACTTAATTAAAATTATTTTATATTTAAAATAAAAAATATTAATTACAGACAACAGAATATAGAGACAAAAAATGCAAACTTTTTTTTAATAATACAATAAAATCCTCAGGCGGGAAAAAAAACTAATATTGAGCCACCTTAGTTTTATTTTCACCGATATGGCTCGTCCGGCTGTATCCATCCCGAGTGATATTCATTAAAATTTTTTATCATCGTAATATACCTGCACTATTTTATTATTCAGGGTCAAATACTTTTACCCTCTTATTAAAAACGTCAAAGCTCTCATAAACCTATATACCTACCGATTTTAGCTATTGTTTTGTCTTTTTTCTTTTATGCTAAATTCTTAATTTGAATGAAAGTAACAAAACAGGGTAACAGATAAAATAGGTCGTCGTAGTCGTAGAATACTGACGGATCTTTATTTGTAGTATTTGTCAGATCCGTCAGTATTCTACGACTATGACGAGGTGTGTAGGAAGTTTTCATTTTTATAAATAAGGAGGGGGTTAATCCCTGATAGTCACCAGAAAACACATCAGTGCACCGCAATTACTAATTTCAAAGTCGTTTCTCCACTAAGGAAACTATACATTAAAATTAAACGCGACTAATATTTTTTTAGCAAAACCCCTTCAATGATTCATTATGATAATCAATGAATTTATTGGATCCTGCTAATGAGCAATCAGTGACGTTATAACTACAATAAAGACGAAACAATAATTTAATCAATTAATTAAATTACATTAAAAAAAATACGTCAAAATTATTTTTTTTTAATGATAACGGATGAATCGATTCAAATTAGACTCGCTAGCCTACTAAATGAAATCTAAGTAAAAATCAGAATTCTGTGTCCTTATTTAGGTTTGGAGAAGTGTTTGTTATCTGGCTGTGTGGTCTCAGTAAAGAATAGGCCACCCCTTCCTTTCCCGTGGGTGTCGTAAGAGCCGACTAAGTAAGTAAGTGCCACTTCAGTAGTATAAAAAAATATATCAAAAACGTGCAAGTAAAATTTTGTAATGATTGGTTGAACCAAGTAACAAACATGGGCTGTGTTCGACGTCATTTTTTTCAACCGACTTCAAAAAGGAGGTTCTCAATTCAGTTGTATGTTCATCAGCTGTCAGTTGTAAACAAATTTGATTTTTTTTATCCGAAAAGATATTCTTGCAAATTGGTTCAATGGTTTAGTTTTGTCATCAAAATATCTGGTTTTGCCACAATTGAAATAGTTTTTTTTTTTTTTTTATGGCACACACTCTTATTTTCCAATGGGAATGAGTGAGATATTCTACTGCAGTAGAAAATGATTTACTTATATGTTGATTCAGGAAAAAAAGTTTTATCTTACCAAATTTAATCCAAATCCGTCTGGAAGTTTTTGCGTCACGCGTACACAGACCCGATCTAATTTGTTTTACTATTTGTATAGATAAATTAATAAGAGATAAATAAGGATAATAATATGCAATATGCTCCATTTCCACCACTAAAATATATCTTGAAAAATTTCTGCGTAACAAGTATCAATCTAATCTATGGCAGGCGTAAACAAAATCTAAGGATTAGGTACATATGTGACGTGGTCAAATACGAATATATTGCGCAGACAGTATTATATTACAGTAACAACTTGTGTATTGTAGTCTATGAACAATAAAGAAAAATACCTACATGAATGATTCCAAATGACCCCATTTAAATCAGAAATGTTATTCACGACTATGTATAGATTTTGTAGAGATAACGCTTTCAATTAATACCATTAGCTCGAACTTTAAAATAATGCGTATCACGCATTATTATGAAGTCATTGACATTTTAATCCTTACTAATCCCTATTATAATAATAAAAATGAGTTTGTTTTTTTTTTATTCACACCTAAACAGCTTAGCTAATCGTCATGAAATTTGGCATAAACAAAAACCATAAGTTACTTAATATTTCGATCACGTAAAATTATAGAATTCTTATCTATTTATTAATATATCTCTAATACCGATATTAACAAATAAGGACGACGCACTGCTTAAACCAGGATATAAAACACTGATGTACAAAAACCGAGATATATTATACATATACACTTACATACAAGGTTACACTTAAAATTGTTCCGAATTAAAATATATTGCTACCTATCGTAGAGAAAGTCGAATCTAATATTTATCATAGATTAACATTTAATATGAAACCCCATCACGTTCATATATTTTTATTAAATTTGTAAAAACAATTCATTTCACAAACGTCACTTACGGATTAAAAAAGAGATAATTTGATAGTACGTGTTCTATTTTCGACGATGTTTTTAAAAAACTCAATGATTAAATATCATAAAAAAAAACATGAATGAGATTAACATCATCTAACAAGCATTTAGCTAGTGTCATAAAAGTAAATTGAATGCACGATTATCATCTTGGTCGTTACCACCTACAACTTACAGCTTACAATTTCCGGCCCAGTGAGTATTACTATCGCGGGTCAAAACCTCGCAGAGCAGACCGAAAACTGGTCCAAGACAGCTGTGGGTCAAGATTAGTGGTAAATTACGACCATGACTGGTCGTAACCGGTTACCGGCGATGCATTGACACTAGCGTGAGCTCATAATATCAATGGTATTTATATTACTGAAACATTAAAACATCTTTGTCTACACTCAACATTCTATAAAATGATGTAACCAGTGAATTGATGTAGTTGTAATACATGTAATATACATTTCAATATTACCTATTACCTATGGATACCTAACCAATCTACTCCGAGAGCTTTATCGATTGCGCCAACGATAATTTTATCAGTTCCTCTGCGAACTAGGACACTATCAGGTAATCTGACATTTAAAAACTTTGCGATAAAATTACTCATTCACGCCCTAAATGCAGCATTCGTCTATTATCCATTTCGAATAGATTGCAAGGTATACAGGCACAATTTTTTTTATTAATCCAAATTATACTGAACTACAAAAATAAATCGATTGAGTTCCACAAACAAGTTTTAAATTTTTTATGTTGTATAAAATAGTCGATATGGTAAAGAAAAAAAAAACATTTATTCCAGTCGATGTGGGATAGGTAGTCAGGCCCGACTGAGCGGCCGTGATTACGGGCACGGGGTCAAAGCCCCTCGTCTCCACGGACCCCTCCCGCACCGCCATCATCCCGGTACAAGGATTGGACACGTATACTAACTGATGCCGACCCACAATTACTGGATGCTGTTAAAATAAAAAAAAGGATGAAATTTGTGTGGAGAGAATACTCAATAAGTAGGCTGGTAGGTTTACGTTGGACAAAATTTACATTTCGTATAGCTATAATGAAAGATTTTGTTTCTGCCGAAATTAATAAATAACAAAATCAAAAACAAAAAAGAGATCAAAACTTTGAAAAAAATTTTTCAAACAATAATGTAGGTACAGTTCATAGTAATAAATTTTTTATAATATTACTAGGAATGACTAAAATTACCGACTGACAGATGACCCACATGACACATTAAATTTAATGATGTTCATACACCATAGATATAACATAGTGAAGTAGTCTATTAAAACGTAATATAAAACAATATACCTACATTTTGAAGAAGTAAACGATATTAACGATAGTACCTATTCGATGTTGAAGCACCATTAGGGGAACACTGAGCACATTTCCTTGATAATAACAATCTATATTTGCATGCAACGCTGTAATTTTTATCGTACATGTCTTCCGCCGCCAGTCTCGCCTTTGTCTGGTGCGATAACTTTGTACGACATGATTGTTAGCTGTGATAAACAGATTTAAAGTAGTCTATTTCTTTTTAATGCCACAATGGTGGCACACAAGCATAAAGCCCATCTGAGAGTAAGCGATTACCGTAGCCTATGAATGTCGCAATGCCAGGGGCTTAAGTACGCATTGCCGACCCTAAAAAACCTTAAAGAGGTTTCTCATTTCTCATTCCATAACCTGAACATTCGTGGGAGGAAACATCTCTGAAACCGCGCTATACGCGACCGTCTAGGCTCTAAAGTAAGGGGGTGAACTCCATGTCGGTGGCGAGCTGTACGATGGTAGAATGTGGCCGTGTAAATAATATTCAACAAGTAATACATAGTTAGCGGTAGCAAAATGCAGACTACTACGGA